CCTGCTCACGTGACCCAGGGACAGAAGCTCGCCCTCCAACAAATTGTGCCCTCCCTGCGCAGGATCTGTAAGTAAAGATCTTTGAACACATTTCCTGTCATGGGGGTGCACTGAATTTGTATCTTACATCTGAAAACTACCCCAGGTTGGGTTTTCCCCAGGATGCCAGAGAAAACACGGGCCGGGCTCTAGGTGTCGAGTGATGGTCAGTAGGCATAAAACCGCACAGGGGTCAAACAAGAGCCACCAGGGCATCTGCCAGTGCAAACAAGCTTCCTGTGCAAGAGACCCCTGGCCGTGGCCAGACAGCTAGCCATTGGGCCATTGGCCAGGTAAAAGAAGTATCCTGTGAAGACATACTGCAAACAGCACATCCGGTTCTCCTTCATCTCCTGTTAGGACAGGGTTGCTGGCCAACTGGAACCAGAACCCTGATTTAGCTAGGGACTCTAAAGCACAAGTGTCCTCCCCAAAGGGAAATTAAGGAACTATTCCTGTCAAAGCTATTCTTTTGCCAACAGTCTTTGGTTCCGTTCTTCCTGGGTTTTAGTTTCTACTAAAACCACCAAGTAATGTCAGTCCTGGATAGCCATCCTTGAACTCAGTCACAGCATCTTATGGTCACGACTAACCTGTACTGTATTAAAATAAGACTTCTGGAAGTAAATGGTGCTAAAATGAATGACATCGATTACCAGCCTTTACCCAACACCTGGGTTGACGAACAGTTGGCCAAAATGTTATCGCCTCTCACTTCGAAGCCCGCGATTGATAGGATGAACTCACTGAGCCCAGATATCCTTTCTGCATTCTTCTAATCCCAGGGCCACCACTAGCCCTTACAAGATGGGAGGCCAGCACTGCATGACACCTACTTATTCTCACTGTTTTACTCCCAGAAGCTGTCCCTGGGCCTACTTCTTGATACTACGTATGGTGGCAATGTCCTGCACTCCGTAATTTAAAAAGCGATTTAAAGACTAACCTTCGGTAAAACTATTAATTGATATTTTGTGTTATCCATAATAGAATGTATCTCACTAAATTTACTTATTTTATGCAAGAATGTGAAAGGATTCATCTGTTGTCATTGGAAGTATCATTATTTCTTTCTAAATTTGTTTACCTTTAAAGATGGTTCTAAGACATGGAACCAACTCAAATGTCCACTAACAGATGAGTGGATTGAAAAATTGTGGCACATGTATTCCATGGGATACTATTCAGCCATAAAAAACAACAAGGCTCTGGAATTGGATAGAAAGTGGACGAATATGGAAGATTTGTTGTTGAGTGAAGCAGGTCAGGCTATGAAAGAGAGACATTGTATGTCTCCACTTAACATATACCGACTACCCACACTCTAGAAGAGACTGAAAAACTGGAGAACATAAAAGTATTACAAATTGTAATGGACACTAGAGACAAAGTGGAAAGAGAGTGCAGGAGGGGAAGAGCATAGGAAAGGAAATTTGGGGGGGGGAATGGAGAGGTAAGACACTTGTGGGACACAGATAAGGTTTGTTAACTGTTGACGAGGATGTGTGTAGTAGTATCGACTGGGCTGGACTGAGGTGTGTATCAAGCTTGGTAAAGTCTCTTCAAAATCTAAGTGATATATAGCGATTTAATGTATGAATAATAATTAAAAAATAAAAGAATGAATAAATGTTTAAAAAGACGGTTCTGTTTATTTAATTGTGAATTCGTTTTTCTTTGTTATTACATGATTGTTCCAGATTTGAGGGCCAAAATAAAATTAATCTTCTAAAATATGTCAGTTATGGGTTTCTATCTGGGGTGATAAAAAAAAGTTCTGGAACTAGATAGCAGCAACAGTTGCACAACATAGTGACTGCACTTCTTGGCACTAAATTGTACACTTTAAAATAGCTAAAAGGGTACATTTTATGCTATGTGTTTTTTAATCACAACTTTTAAGTGTGTCATCCAATTTCATGGTATGTGAATTATATCTCTATAAAACTATTAAATAAATTAATTTTGTAAGAATGTCAGAGCTAAAATATTGTGCTGGCCATTGTCCTAAGAATACAAACTTTGGAATACTTGGAGGAAGGTCAACAGGAGCAAAAACAAAGTGATAATCAGAAGGTGTATTTGTTCTTTTATGCTATGTAACAAATTACCCCCAAACTTGGATTAAAACAGCAAACCCCCAATGTGATCTTCATGACATGATCTACCCTGCGCCTCAACTGGCCAGGGTCACAGAGCATGCTCACATGTCCAGCTTGCAGTGGAAGACTTCAAAACCCAAGATCTCGCCGTATGGCCTCAGCGTCACAGAGCATTGTGTCATTAGTGGGCCACCACAACTGGCCGTGCAAAGTTCTTTTGAGTGCTTACTATATGCCAGGCATTACACAAGTTGCTTTAAAAGAATTTTCTCATTTAGTGTAATTTTTAAATAACCAGAGGTAATGTTTGTGAAATCCATTCAATCTGTAGGGTTTCTTTAAGTGTATGTAACTTCTTCCATGAGAGAGAGAGAGAGGCACACCCTACAGGATCAGTTCATGCCACAATCCACTCCCAGCCTCAGCCAGCCTGGATCGTAGGCGTGCATATGAGCACCCAGGATGCACAGGTAAGTCCCCAGACATGAAGCCAGGACCTTCCCATTTGGGTCTAGCATTGTAGAGCCGTGCTTTATGGCTGTGCTAATATTTGGCCCCCAAATCCATTCAGTGTTAATTATAAAAGCTTTTCTTACTTTTTACCTTTTATGTGTTTTTGATATCCAATTTTGTCCATGCATGGTATTATTTAAATCAAGAAAATTTTAATAAAAAGGAAGAATTAATTGTGTCAGTTTTAAAAGTACATAAGGGGGCCAGCAGGTTAGTATGGTGGTTAAGATACTTGACTCTCAAGTGGCTGACTGGAGTTCGAGTCCCGGACCTGGTAACTTGAAAATCACACCAGGTGCATGTACATGTGTGTCCAAAATCCCAAGAGGTGAATGGAGGAGTAGGGATTGTGGTGTGGTGTGATCCTCTATGGGGGCGGGGGTGATATCTCACTTTCTCTCTCTCTGTCTCTCTCTCTCTCTCTGGTGAGTGCATGCTCCCTATAGCATAAAACCAAAAGAAAAGAAAAGAAAAGAAACACAAAGAATCTAAGTTGTTCTAAACAGGCTAAGAACTATTCCTGGTGTGGAAGGAAAGAGAACTGAGGAGTGAGTAACCGTTTTAGTGAGTGATTCAGTGTCACTTATGTAACCAGGTCTGTGGCTTGGCCGCAGCACTTGGAAACAAGGACCCTCCTGAGGGCAGGTGCATCCAGCTTTGGTGTGTGCCAGGCGGGGCACCAATGGCACCGATAACTTTACTTCTGGTGCATGGCTGTCCACACTGCTGGCCGTGTCCTCCAAGAATCACAGCTGCAATCTTATATCTAACAGTTTATTTTGTTCATGTGTCTGGAGACCCCAAAGCAAGAGACAAATTCTAAAAGAGACAAATGTATAAACACAACAAGAAATCAACATACACATCCTCCACAACCCTGCAGAAAATCACAGAGGCTCCAACTGAAGGAAGAGCTAGGAACATCAATAAACAAGTGGTGGAGATGAAATATACAAAGACGTGTGTAGAAGAAGTAACAAGAAGAGGAAGAAGGAAACAACACGGAAGTTGCTTGCATTCCCTGACCCCCTTTCCCCGTTGTAGTTTCCGGAATTATAATTTTTATGGTCCCCCTGAATCATAAAGCTGCCTGCCCAGAAGACTC